AACCGAATTGGCCACCTAACAAAAGTTTATTTCAAATTTCAAATCAATTAAAACTAGGTGTTACCTGCGCGCATGCGCGGGCAAGTGATTCATTAATATATTATCAACGAATTAAAACATAATATTTTTTTTACCCATTCATTTTTCAAAAATACATAAATCAAATTGTCTAAGATAGTTTATACCATGTATCTTTAATCGCACTCATTTGTTAGAAATATATAGTTTAAATATATTGATCTGTATTGATTGGAGATTAATTCTCAAAACAACATAGTTGTTTTATGTTTGTTAAAAATCTCCCCGCAAGTATTAAGATTGACAGAATTAATAAGGTATACAATATTATGAATGAAGTTAATGCAATAGTCTTTTGGTATTATCCCCGCGTATGACATTCAAATTGGTTATTATTCTCCTTAAACATAAGTTAATACAATAGTCATTTTGGTATTATCCCCGCAACTATCTCTTTCTTCTATGCTTAATGTTTTGTGTTTGTAGTAGTTTCTTTGATGGCCTTGATGGCCTTTGCTCTTTGTAAACAATTTCTCCATTTGTGGAGAGTAATTTGATTTATAAAATCATGGTTTGACCTAAACAAAAAAAAATTAATGTATCATATAAATAAGTTTACATCTACGTCACTCTAGACATTAGCCTACTTTGGAATTGACGAAGATATCTTATACATACTGAGTGACGGAGATGGCTCGAATTGACGAAATTTGGAATTTGGATTTTTGGAATATATACTCAAATCATCTTCAACTGCATTAAAAACCATCCCTCAATCGCTTTCTTTGCCATATCATCACATGGCATGAGCCCGGTTGAGTTTGTCTATCGAACTTGTAAACAGAAACTCAGGTAAGAGTTTGAACACAAAATCAAAATTAACATGGATTAGCAGTGATGCTCTTGTGAATCGAATGGAAAATAACCTATAAACCAACAACTCGCATTGAATAATTTTTCCCAAATTTTGTATTTTGAAATTACAAGTTGTTAACTATTACTACGTTCTGAGTAGTGCTACAATATTTTCATATGTATAAGATTTTCATATTATTCAAATATACATATTATTCATATGTATAATAGTTAAATAAGGATCTCTGAAGTACTGAATTTACGCCCATTTAAGTGAAATATTCTTTTAAACCGCATTCACGTTTTAACATATAGCTAAATTCATCTTATCCTAAAAAGATTAATGTTTTTTGGTATCTTTGGAGTAACTTGAATCTCTCTAATCACATCATCTTCTTCTTACATAGAGTTTTGAACCATAACCTTGTGGTGCTCCTTCTCTTAAACTTACCCGAGTTTACTCACATTTTCGGTTTCATTTATTTTGGAGTTGTCGCAAATGTTTTAGAGTGCTTCAAAAGAATCAAAACATTCAAATAAAGGAGATAGCTGAGAAAATACAACAAAATAAAATAATCAGTAGAATGCTCTGTAGTTAAAAATGTTTCAAAGTGTTCTAAATATAATTT